CATATGTATCCTACTTCTCATACCACTACCCTGTATTCAATAAATGTAAGTTGCAAATGAATTAAACGATTCAAAACAAAAATTTTGTTTAATTTCAATATACTATACACGATTGACGTTTTCACGAAAATAACTGCGGCAGTGTCCGACACTGCCTATAAATTTTTTTAGACTAAACACGGTCAACTTACCTGACTCCGGATGAGTTCTTCATGTCTGGTCCTGACGTCGTTGCCCCTCTTGGGTCTCATCAGCAGGTAGATGGTGGCGATTTCTGGGCAGGACCGCAGCAACTTTTCCACCAGCACCTTACCCATGAATCCGGTGCCTCCTGTGATGAAGATGCATCGTCCTTTGAAGAACCCCGGGATGTCAGAGGGCGCGTGCATGGTTTCGCCTCCGTCGCCAGTGAAAATTTCTGAGCTACCCATTAGTTGATTGTCCACTGTAAAGAACCAAATGTGAGTCTTCTCTGGCGCTATCTCAATCTGTCCTAGGAAATAAGTGCCTCAAATAACGTTGAAATCAAAAACATTTACATTCTTTTGCATTGTGCAGTCTGTGTTGTGTGACAACTGTTGCACCAGAATCAAATTTTTCAAGGTTGTGAAAGGGTAATTATAATAATGATGGAAAGATCGAGATCAAAATAAAATTTGCTGTACAATCTGTATTGTAGATTTCTCGAACCAAATTTGCCAATTCATAGTAAATTCCTTTAATGCATATATACAGGTTGTCCCAAAAAGGTGTATTTACACATTCAATGAATGAAACAAAGACAATTTAATAAAATAAACCATTACAAACGTCATCATTGGCGCGAATCCAATCAAAATTACCACCGTTCGCTTCATGGCACAGTTGACATTGGCGTGCAACTGACTAGACACGTGGTCATGAAAGTTGCTGCTGGGAAGGCTGTGCAAGACCATTCAACTTCTTGTCGGATCTCTTGAACTTTTGCTGGCTTTGTGCTGTACGCCGCGTCCTTCAAGAAACCCCACAAGAAAAAGACATGTGGCTTTAAATACGGCGATCGCGGGGTGATCAACAGATTCTCTGCGTCCTGTGCATTGATCGGGAAAAGTGTAGACCACTCTAGGCTCCCTTGGCAACCACATCACACGGAGACCGATAACAGGGTTCATATTTCGTATTATAATGTGTATATGTCTTTTTGGGACACGTTCTGTGAGTGTGTGCATACAGAAGGTAATATGCCCTGCGTATTTTTCTTTATTTCGAGTAGAAATTAAACGTATTCGTCGCTTTGATGCCGATGATCTTGCTTATTTCCATTTCCATTTGTGACAGGAATATTCCCGGAATGCAACACGAAAACATTTCTTATGCAAGACGAAGTATAAGAAATCCGGCAAGACAGAAAAATTGCCAGGACAATGAGAGGATGTGTAATAAATTAGACGATGCCTTCAAGGCAGTGAGAACTTGGAATGTGGTTTTCTAACTTCTGACAGCATGTAATGTCGTTGGTTTTTACCAGTGTTTCGGAGGAATATATCGTTGCATTTTCAGGATGTAAACGAGTCTAGTTGGTTGTAAGTCGTTTGTTGAGGGGACGGACGGTTAGTGGGAGTGGGGGAAATAGGAAGAAGGATAAAGGGAGTTGGAGGCCGTTAGTATGATGAAAGAAGGAAGGATGACTTGAAAGAGTGACCGGTGCTAATAGCAATGAAAGGATGAATGATGGCTGAGAAGCTCTCAAAAGGGAAATTTTCGTTAAGACGGGCAGAAAGAGGTAAAGAGGAAATATATGGTGGAAAATGGAGGAAATTTGAAAAGAGAATTATGCAAGTGGGAATCGTGATAAAATGAAGAAGGGCTGCTGGAAGACCCTGAAAACGGCAATTTTCTAGGAAGGTCTTGGTAGGGGGTCATTTCAAGGGAAGTTATTGTAAGGACTACGGACAGGGAACGGCTTTCCTTGCCCTCAGCGATAGGCCTCTCTTGTTCCTTCAGGGTTCGATCTCTGTCCCTTTCTTGTTGTTCTGAGCCATGTGTCTGGATTATTTTGCCAGCAAACTGTGGTGTGTGCTGTACCAGGTTTATTCCTATCTTTGGCCAAGGCTGAATTTGGCCCGAATGGGACGAAGTCCTTTTTGTCCAACGTGAACGTCCTTCTGTCTGAAGTGATTCTGTATACACCCAGTGTTCCTGGGAAGCTATTTTTGTAATTTTCCTTGGCGACATGTCTACTATGTTAATATTTAGTTTGACAGCAGCCTACTAATGTGACTGAAGATGGTGCCAAAAAAGGTTAAAATGGCACATTATTCTCTCTACGTAGCGTGAGCTCGGCTATTAAGAATCCGTTTAAAACGTTAAATAAAGTGGTCGTTTTAGCGGCTGTATGGACTGGCAGCACAATGCTAACTTGCACAGAGAAAGGAGGCGTAAAAAATTAAGAACAAATCTTATTACTTTGTGAGTGTGGACTGTCTAGTATTTATTGCAGTTTTTACTCAAGTACTCGTATTTACATGTCCACAACGCAAACTTTTAACGCACCAATAACGGATGTTCTTTGCTTGATATTTGAGATTTATTTCGATTACGTAGAAGGAATATGAAACCCACATCTGATTAACATTCTACTAATCGGAATGTCATGCTATAAAACGCAATTTCCCACCTTCGTAAACATTGCATCGTTCAACTACGAGTCGTACGAATGTAAGAATAAAACTAAAGACATGCTAAAGAGGCCTTCGATCCTCTGTGGAACCGGAAATTTCATTGCCGGTTTTACAGCAGCCCACGCGGTCTGAAGAATCCTGTCCACACGCTCCCGCCGTTTAATTAACGTATATTTTAAAACTGTCCTCACATTTACGTCTAGGTCTCCAGAGTGTTATTTCCCCTTTTTAACTTTAGAATGTGTTCCGTAGAACGTTGTTCTTGGGTGAATACGTTAATAGGCAAGCTTATCCTCCTCTTAACACCATCGCTAATTTGTATTCGTGCTTATTCTTGTACATTGGGAGCGATTTATTAGCTATTGTTTTAATACGACTTTGTCCCCTTTTCTGGTTCTGTAACATGTGGGTCGATTATCGAAGAGTGCGCAGCAACTATACTATGTAGATTTCTGTCTTCTGGGTTGTTGCGCAGTGTAGTCTGGTCGATGTTTACCAACGTTTCAGAGGTCATACT